AAAACAAAAACAAAAACAAAAAACTTTTATGGGAAGCAATAATTTGCAAGTGGGCTATTAAGCCAGCTGACCTTGGTGTTGATAGCTCACCAAGCTATCAAATTTGGTTAGACCACAGTCCAGCTATTTCTAGCAGTCTATGCAAAGATGGTGAAGGTCGTTTTTCCTTTTCCTTATGGGTACATAAGCTAGTTACGTATCAGGGTCCTTCCATCTTTCTTCTCTTCCTCCTTTCCTTCCTTCCTGCCTTCCTGTTTATACTGTGGGTAAATTTCAGAGGACGTGTGCTTGTGTCACTGTGGCTGATTTCTAAAGGTATTGAAAAATAATGTTAGTTAGACGACTAACTCTGAATAATAGAATATATCTTAATTCTGGTCATACTTTATAGATCTGTCACTAACTGGTCCTGATAAATATCTCCCCTCGGGTCCTGTCCTGTTTGTTCAGAGAGTAATTTGTTCCAGCTTTATATTCAATAAATAAATCACCAAAGTGTCCCAGCATGTATTAGAAACCATTAAATATATGAGAAGGTTTTAACCAGTGAAGTCTGTTTTACCTAGGCAAATATTTCCTGGCTAATTCTATCCAAACAAGCTTCTCAAAATTATATATATTTTTTGTAAATGTGCATGAATTTGTTTCCACCATTAACTTACAAAACTTGTATTCCTGTTTAAAACATTATATTTCTTCCTTGAAAAAAANACCATTAACTTACAAAACTTGTATTCCTGTTTAAAACATTATATTTCTTCCTTGAAAAAAATTTTAAAATGCCACATTTTTCCTTCTAATTGACTCATTTCTTTTCTTGAAAAAAAAAAAATCAATAATCTCTATATCCTAGTTCTATATTTATCACATTCAACCTTCCTCCACTTCTCTACCAAATTAAAAAACAAGGAAAACAAAAAAGAAACAAACTCAAGAAATAAGAAACAATGAGATAAGGAACAAGTAATGGTACCAAAGTTCTGATTTGGTCTCATAATAATAGACTGGAAATTAATTTAACAAGCTTATGGCATTTTATAGGAGAGGACTGCATCTTTCAGAATCTGAGTAATCAGTTGAAAATATCAACTTATTCGCCATATTTTCTAGTAAATATTTTACATATTTTTTTGTAAATGTTATGGCTTCTCACAGATATGCACTTTTTAAATGATGTCTGTAAAAAGAAGAGATGACTAAGAGTTACACCGTTGCTATTACTTCATACTTACAGCGACTGCCTCCAGGATCTGTTTAACAGCATCTGCAGCATCTCGCTCACTATAATATCCCTTTTCCACAATCCTATAAAGAAAGAATCATGAAATGCTTCTCAGACACACATGCATTCAGTTGAGTGGATGTTAAAAGAAGTTAATTAAATTAACATTATTTTAACAGGCTTCATAATACCAGGGGAAAGATTTCCATAAACCGGCACTTTAAAAATCTGAGGAGTTTACTTAGGAAAATGAAAAGCATTTATTTTGCCTTGGCTTGAACTGTCCATCCTATTTAAGGGAAAAAAATTCTTCCTTAAATTTTATATTGCAAACCATTTTAAATATATGCTGAGTAAACATTATATTATAAAACACCTCATGTAATTGTCACAGAACTTCAACAATTATTAATTCATGGCCAATCTTGTTTCGTCTCTCTGCTTAATGACTTCCCTTCCTCCTTTACTATTTTTTTTTTCGTTTTTTATTGTGACCGGTAAGGGGATTGCAACCCTCGGCTTGGTGTTGCCGGCACCGCGCTCAGCCAGTGAGCGCACCGGCCATCCCTATATAGGATCCAAACCAGCGGCCTCCAGCGATCCCAGCGCCGCACTCTCCCGAGTGAGCCATGGGGTCGGCCCCTCCTTTACTATTTTAAAGTAAATATCAGATATCATATAATTTCATTTCTAAATATTGAAGAAGATATCTCTAAAATATAAGAAATCTTTTAAAAATCATAACCGTGATGCAATTGCATACCTAGAAATTTAATTTCTTAATATTATCAAATATGTAATGTTTCAAATTTCCAGTTGTCTTGGACATGTTGATTTTTGTTTGTTTGAATCAGTATCCAAATAAGGTCCATAAAACTTGATCAGTTAAGTCTTTATTCTCTTTTAACCTGTAGGTTCTCTCTCTCTCTCTCCCCTCTTCCCTCCCTCTCTCCACTTCCCTCTTCCCCATTTCTAGAGTAGACTTGTGGGGAAAACCCACAAAATGCAGGTGCAAAACTGCATATGATATCTGCCTACCATCACCCTTCACCGCCTCTCTTCCAGGCTGCTTCTGCTAAAAGGAGTTTTGATCGAAGATAATTTGCTAATCAGACTGTCACAGATTAGGTTTTGGGATCTCAGATATTCGATTTTAAATATTTTATAAGTTGAGCTACCATCCAGGTCATCCGCAGGAGACTAGAACAATCAGTAGTAGGGAATTTCTCAAGTTGTAAATGCAGGTTTATAACTTAAAACTATGGTTATAAGTGAAGATGTTAGTGGCCAAGCAAAGGAAAGTGAAGTCTTGCAGTCTTTCTCTCCATTAAGATTGCATGATTACAGCAGATGTGTTTGGCCAGTGCCTTCTGCAGGGCACTCTGGTAACACTCTCAGCCTTCTCACTGGATGGTTGCTCTGGATCACTCATGAGCCTAGCTGCAAGGCTTGCTCACACTAAGCTGTCAGAAAATATCGTGGAATCCATACTAATTGCAGAATGAACGGATGTCAGAAAGATTTCCGACCATGAACATTTGGATAATTCCTTTACCTATGTCCCTTACCATGGGGAACAAAAGCACTGGATTCAGAAATGATGCCCATCACAGGCACACTGGTCAAAACTCCAGGGGAAGGACAGCCGTATTGATGTCTCCCCAAGGAAAAGGCGAGAAGTGGGAAGACTATTGCTGGTCTCATGAATAAACTGATTTACATAGTTTTAGATATTACTGTAATAACATGAATCTTTTTAGAAACTTATTTTGAACAAAATCAAAATGATTCAAATTCGGCAAAACAGAGTATTTGTTTCATGAAGAGATACATAATTTCTTCCTGC